CATATTTTTTGAGCTGAGGTGATAGTCGATTCTGTTTTAAAAATTCCATACCCGGCACTTAGAAGCTTCCTGAAGCCTTTTTTCGATATACTTGGGGTAGAAAAACCAGCTGCACTGGTTTGCTCGCTATAAAATAGATGTCATTAAAAACAGTCGCAACTTAATCGTTTTCATAATTTTTTTTCTTTTTACGATCTCGGTTACCCTTTTATTATTCCTTTGCGATTATCTGCATTAGTAAGTCTCTATTCCCAGCATCACAATCTTTGGTTGCGAGGAGAATGAATAATGCGTAAGCATTTGATCACATTCTTTTATATTGTCCCCCACCCAGTTGCTATTCTAATTGACCCACCGATTATCAAGGCGATTAATAATTGCCCGATTCTTAAAGCTACTACTTTATCTAAAACCAAGTCATTCTGGACTACTTAAAGGGATCTATAGACTGATAATGGCACTTGTTTTTCTACACTCTTTCTTCGGATTTCAAATAAACAAATCATTCTCATTCATTTTATGAGTAGAACCGATATAAATAATAATGTGGTCCATGTCTCCTTTGATCATCTAAATTTTCCACAGATTGATTGTTAATCGCCCTTAATGGATAACATTCTTGTTATAATTCAGAAATATTTTAGATTTCTGCATACAATAAAGTTATTTATCTGAAAGTATTTATAAGTAAAATGTCTTATTAAATTCATTTAACAAAATTTGGGATACGAAACAATAGCATATATTGATTATAAAATAATGATATGAGATAGAAACTTAAACTAAATTGTTTTAGATTGTTATAAAGCATATGAGATAGCATAAAATCTATGTATGTATATTATTATACGAGATGAACCTGCCATGGTTTCCATTAAAATATTCAAACGTTACATATTCTATGTACAAGTTAATCTGGAGCCATGTTTATCATTACAAAAGCTACATAAATAGATCCCAGCTTTTCTTATAAAAACCTTATAAAGCCAGATTAATAGAGCCTCTTTATCTGCTCATTTTCAACCTGAGTATTTGTATGTTTAAGCGTTTATGCGTGCATATGCGTACAGGTATAGTTCCCGTTAGTAAACTACAAGTCTTAACTGGATAATTATAACAAATGACTATAAGAGAATTTCTCGCGAATTGGCTGACATGAACCTTATCATCATATCAAATTGCTTCAGAACAACAGTAATCCTTCTTTGTGTCCTGATGGAGACGGCTTACGAGCTGAAAGTCAGCATCACAAGCAGACTAATCTTGGTCCACACTTTGCCTTTATCAACAAATTACACCGCGTTTATGATTCAAGGCAATTAAGGCTTTTAATGATTTATACATAAATTAAGCTGAGATGCAGCCTATTTTCACTCGAAACGAGGGCTAATGTCCCGTAGACCGCGTCAACCTGAACATCGTATCAAAGCCAAACGGCTGCAGTATAACGGGAATCAGCTGTCTTTTTCTGGTGAGATCGACTTTCAAATTTCTTCCTCATGCACTTTCACATGAAATGAAATTTTACCCAGCAATATAAAATATGAAACAGGATTTTGACCCACATAAACTCGCGAAAAGGTGTAATTACACTGTGGTACTTCATTCCATTAAATTGGAAAGGCATATTTTATAATATTCTACATAATAACTTTTAGCCAATTTTTGTCGTTTTTTTCTTCCCATTTGTGGGCCTTATATTCCCTATTCCATGTGCTTTTTTCAATATTTATATTCTTATATTTGACTATTCTATTTTTAGCTTTATACTGCTTTTATACGCATCCTCCTTTTTAGATACTTTACTATGTGTCAATAGTACTTGTTCGACTTCAGTTGATATCGCCTTATCTTTCCATCAAGCTCCAATTTTCATATCGTCCGTCTAGCTTTAAATGCAAACACACACATGCAAATATAGTTTTTTGTATTCGTACGTTATTTTGTCTGTTTATTTTTATTAATTGTCTTTTTATGATATTTTTCTATAACTAAATACCCTTTCTCATATTTGTTCATTTAACGTTTTGCG